GTGGCAAATGCTGTGACTGTCACCTTTCAATGGCTGCTTGTGACTGAAAAGGTTCGTAAACAAACAAATTTTGTCACAGACTGCAGTTTTGTCGAAGAAACGCAATCAGTGACCTCGTCCTAATGAGTACAGTTACTTCATATTCAACCCCATTCAATACAACAAACAGCCACATTGCAAACAATACAGACACAGACAAAAACTGAATGTGTACTATCGTTTTCATATGAACTATCTGGCATTGGTGCACCCCTACGTAGGATTACGCAGCACTTAAAGCGTCCCTCCCAGACCTCAAACCACACACTCTACCACATTTTGTCGAAACTGGTGGGCGCATAAATGTATGGGGGTATTAACCAGGGACTTCACCCTCTGGAGTGGCACATAATCATGACTCACTACACTTCCTCCCAGGACCTTTATACTTGTAGTATGATAGTGCACATATCCGGTTACCACAAGCTTCCCGCATTTTTGAGAAGTTTAGACATGCAGCTTTATTCATGGAGTTACCTTACAGCAAAGAGTAGCAAACAAATCAACCACACCCACCCAGGAGCACCCCCCTCTGTATGTACACACCATCCTTTGTGCTACTTGGGTGCGTGGGGAGTGGGAGTCAAAACTACACAAAAATCGAACACCGTTTTACTTAAAAGCGCATGATCCAGACACATGCACAGTTGAACGATGCACTGATATGTATAAACGAAAAGTTCGAACCACTAGGTTAGCTCGCCAACTTTTCTCAAAGTACGTAAATACACAACCTGAACAGCAGCAAATGAGGCGGAGAGGGCATCCATCCAGTGGTTGAGGGTTCTGGCTGTGGAGTAGTCCACGTTTACAAAGTATGGAGTGCTTTGCAGACCATCTTCTTGCTGCAGTACATCACGACAGCTGCGACTGTGGGCGAAATATACAATGAGCTACCTGACATTTCATACCGTATAGCGTATGTACAAAATTCGCGAAATCGCCTCCGGGGCCTCCAGAATAAATGTTCGCCGTTTTAACTTTCATACTGCTCGCGCAGTTACGCACCATATCCACGACAAAATTTCACGTTAGTTATTTTCGGGGAAGGAGACCTGCTAAAATTTCCCGCCATACGGTATTCGGACAATCTAGTACAGCATTCTCTCCCACACACCCTTTCCTGAGGTACTTCATGACACTGGCATACATCTGTGAGAACATCTCAAGGTCCTCCTTCTCTCCAAACAAGATGTAAGACTACGGCAGAGAAGAGGGAAGGAGGAGGAAGAATGCTGCAGAATGTAAAATTTTTCTATGCGCTAACTTTCTGTGCTAAATTTCAGAATACACGGGGCTTGAAAAATGGAACTACACATTGTGACTGGTTCTCACAATCAAAACGCAACAGTCTTATAAACACGAGCCCTTGTACACAGCGCTCAACGATAATCTCACACAAACCGTACACACCTTGAGAAGGTATTCGTAGAAGGAGTCGATGCCAGCCCCGAGACCACTCATTCTGCCGGTCCACTGACCAGTCTGGACGTTTATCACATTCCCTTAAAGAGGCAGTGTGTATTAATTTTTAACACAGGTCCATAAAGGATTGATTACCACAGATTGGGTAAAGGGAAAATAATCTTGAAGATTTCAGAAATGTCTGAACACGCTTTATTCGTGTAATTTTAGTGAAGAATGTTCTCCCTTAACAGCCTCTCTCTTCCCTTCACCAGCCTTGCGGCAGCATCTGTTATCACCCCCCCTTCTTTCTCTCTCTTCCCTTCGTGACAGCATCATTTATCATCCTCCCCCTCTCCCTCTTCCCTTCACCAGCCCCCTGTGGCAGCATCAGTTATCATCTCCCCCTCTCTCTCTTCCGTTCACCAGCCCCCTGTGGCAGTGGCAGTTATCATCCTCCCCCTCTCTCTCTCTCTCTTCCCTTCACCAGCCCTGTGGCAGCATCAGTTATCATCCTCCCCCTCTCCCTCTTAACACACCTTCAGTCTCAACTCACTGGTGTAAGGATTTCTCTTATCCCCTTTTCCTTAAAACCTTCTCTCTTTCCCTCTCTTGTACCTCAGCCCGTAACTCACCCCCTCCTCTCTCCCGCCTTCTCTCTACATTACTCCTAACTCACCAACCAGGTCCACCTTTCCCTGCCCTCTCCCGCCTTCTATATTACTCCTATAACTCACCAACCAGGTCCACCTTTCCCCGCCCTCTCCTGCCTTCTCTCTACATTACTCCTAACTCACCAACCAGGTCCACCTTGTCCCCGCCCTCTCCTGCCTTCTCTCTACATTACTCCTAACTCACCAACCAGGTCCACCTTTGCCCACCCTCTCCTGCCTTCTCTCTACATTACTCCTAACTCACCAACCAGGTCCACCTTTGCCCGCCCTCTCCTGCCTTCTCTCTACATTACTCCTAACTCACCAACCAGTTCCACCTTTCCCCGCCCTCTCCTGCCTTCTCTCTACATTACTCCTAACTCACCAACCAGGTCCACCTTTGTCCGCCCTCTCCTGCCTTCTCTCTGCATTACTCCTAACTAACCAACCAGGTCCACCTTGTCCCCGCCCTCTCCCGCCTTCTCTATTACTCCTAACTCACCAACCAGGTCACTGGCAGCGCTGGCAGAGTAACCCTTTACTCCTCCCCCTCTTTCCCTCTCCCTCCTTCTCCCTACGTAACTCACCAACCAGCCCGGTGGCAGGGTGTCTCTTGTCCCAGAGTAGCCCTCACAGCTCGGCGAGCCAGGTTCTCGTAGGTGGGGTCTCCCACCAGTCGACTCAGGAGAGTGAACTCTACTGACAGAGTGCCTGCTCCAGCAGTACAAGTCTCAGGTGACCCGTCCACTGGCACTCCTGTACACAGGTTCACCTGAGGTAAAGCAAATATGTACATATACAATATACAGTATATTTGTACACAGTATATAGAGCACTGAAAGTGTAATGAAAAGTGTTGGAAACACACATTCAAAATGCAACTCCATTGAATGTGTTATTTTGTGTCTTCCCAACACTTTTCATCTACACTTTCAGTGCTCAGTGACTCCGCTTCACTGGGCCACTTGTCCTGTGGAGTTGTTTTTATTTTTCAACCCCAGAATTAACAAAGTTATCTATATTCATCCGTATGGTCAATGAGAACTATTGACTGGTGGAAATTTTTTGCCGAGCAGAGCCTTGCCTATATGCCAACATAGATCTGTTCTCTGTGAATAGTCGCTCCCTGGGGCCTAGAGAGAGATATCACTATAATTATTCTAAGTGCGTACTTCAAGCCGATGAAATGAGTTTGTGTCCTATGCTTCACTCGCAGAATTACACAATACTAGAGGAGACTTACTTCTTGCCTATACCCTGTCTCATTGACCATACGGATGGATATAGATAACTTTGTTAATTCTGGGGTTGAAAGGAGAAAAAAAACTTCACTGGACAAGTGGCCATCATGCCCAGTGAAGCGGGGACACTCAGTATTGTCAAGCAGCAGTGTGGGTAAGGGGAGGAACTAGAGCTGATCCCAGGCAGTGCTCTAGACCACCTACCAGCTTCCAGCCCGGGATCGATCTCTCGACCACCGGAACCTTTATACTAGTAGTCCCCACACTTACTGCTTGCGCCACATGAGTGACCCAGAGAAGAGCAGTGTTGGCCGGAGTCGAACCTTGGTAGGCAGCAACTCATGTCTCATAACCAAGAGCATATCCATCAGACCATCAGATTGCAAGTATCGGGCTGTCACGAGTATACCGACCAGATCAAAGGATGGGACAAAACGCAACTACGGCTAAATGATTCTGCAGCGGGCGTCTAGCTCTATATCTCGTACACGACGTCTCGCTAGTCGTGCTTCCCTTTCTTCCTCTGTTTCGGCAGCGAGGCGTGATAGGTTTGCTATCAGACAGATGCAGTAATTCTGTACTGGCTCTAGAGAGAGGGAGAGCTACATAACCATACATGGGGCCTCGTGCGCTACACACTTCAGGAGTAGGGTTATAAGTTCACACTTATACTTCTTACTAGGAATGCGCACGCGCATATTTTGCCTCGCGCCTGCCAGCCAATGCGTAAACAATCCGACTGAGGCCACTCGTGCGCGCGCTCTACTGACTGCGCGCGAAGCCAGACTTCCTACGAATCTGCGCGCACGGCGGAAATTGACATTCCTAAATTGACATTCCCTAAGCGTGACTAATTGACATTCTTAAGCGTGACGGACACGTACGTACGTATATCGCGAGAATACAACCCAGAGTAGTTGCCTCACGCTAACGCGCTCGGCAACAAAGAAATAAGTATGACCAGTCTCTTCGGGTGATGGATATCTACATTCTTACAAAATTTCATTAATTTATGTTGTTTCGTTTTTGAGTTATGGGTGTTGAATCTGAAGAAGAAGAAGGAGAAGAAGATGAACAAAACTCCCTATCATAGCCCCATACATCTATGATGCTAGGTATATACCATACTTCTTCTAATCTTTTACACCGTGTTTGGATCACAAGCCCCCCTTACATCTCAATCATCACAGCATTAATAAGGAGGACCGTCCAAACACATGTGTATATAGTTGTGCAGGAGGTGGTAGCAGGACCACTAAGGCAGGCGTTATGCAAGAGGCATTCTCAACACAAAGGTAGACTTAGGTTAGGTTCATAATTGTCGCAATATGCTCCATCACGCCATGTCAAGAATATTCTATATTCGCGAAGGTGCATGGTGCGACGGTCACTGCGACATTGTTGTAAACCGAGTCTACCTTTTGTTGAGAATTCCCTTACCACATACGTATTATTCACGATGCTCTTACTCTGGGATGAGGATACCAGTGGTGGTATTCTCAAATGCAGGGAGGAGTCTGATGGCAAGGTCATGGGCCATCTCCAGGAGTCTCTCAGAGGTGGGGTCGTCTGGAGGCAGGAGGGGAGAAAGGGAGAGGGGGGAGGAGTGGGAATGGGGCTGGGTGAGGAGGTAGGCCGAGAGTAGGGAGCCCATCACTCTGGGGAGGGAGGAGGCAGGACCGAGGGAGGAGAGAGAGAGAGAGAGAGAGAGAGAGAGAGATAAAAGAGGGAGGTGAGACCAAATCTGAGGCTCTAGTTAATGCGGATCAAAAATCTTCTTTGGAAAAAAGAGTTTTCCGTTGTGCTGTTTGCCTTCGCTTTGCCTCAACTTCATCGACGATCTTATAAGCTGTGTCCCCATACTCTAATCAAGCTTTCAATCAACTGTCTGTACCTGATGGTGGCCTCAAAGACTTGAACGGTGGTGTAATACTCATCATCACTGAGTATCATACCTACTGAAGTGCGCCAAAGCTCGGATGTGTAATACATCATCCTTTACATGATGTGTCTATAGCTCCTTTAGTCAAAAGCTTTGCACTCGAGTGAACTGTTCATACCTAATGGTGGCCTCAAAGACTTGAACGGTGGTACATCTATCGAACGTGACGTGATCCACCACCAGCTGAGCAGCTCTCCTGAACTCAGACGTGTTGCCCATAATGACCAGAGTGTCCAGAGAGTCCACGAGGGTCAGGGAATAGTCTCCCAGTGCATCGTTCACATTCGTATTGGACCTGCAACAGACACAATGGACTGGTTGAACTGAAGACTGCAATGATGATGAAAACCCATGTGTATATATATCTGCATATGGCGTTCGGGATCACCAATCTGTCAAACATTTCTAGCAGCTATATTATGTACGTACCACCTGAGCACTATTCTGTTGCAGGCAATAGCACCAAATTTTGCTAATGGCCGCAAACATACTTGTACACCATAAGCATTTTGCGCTCTGCAGACTCTATACTCTCACAGATCTTCCCAGTCATGTCCTCTGCCCCTGCAACGAATAGGGTTCAACTCGTCTTCTGGGAAGGCGTGTTTCATATAGTTATCATATCCCCAGTAAAACATCTTGCGCGCTTCCTCTCTCATCGCCAGTCGCTCCTCTTCTGAAAATGGGCGGTGCATCAGCGAGGAGAGGGGGACCCTGTTCGTTACATTTTCCAGCCCCCCGTGGCCCCCCGAGCGTCTCCCGTCGGGGAACAGGAGGAAGATTTGAGGTAAGAGGGACCAGAGGAAGTGTGCCGCGGCTGCCATGACCCACACTCTCTTCACCAGCTGCCACCAGGGAGCGCTACTGCCACAGGCCGTCCAGCCTCCCTGCATCAACTGTACAGTACATACAGCGAACGTTTTCTGATGCGAGTTGGGCTACTTGCTCACATATATCACACACTACGAGAGTATGGGACAGTATACATTATTCACTGACATTGCAGCTGAAGACGATAGTACGCTCTTGCTTCTCGATTCCCTTGGCTGGATGCGCTCTCCCTGGCTGACGACAGCAAAACGCACACGTCTGCAGGAGCAGATACAGAGGGCAAAAGGCTCAGCTTGCTGCTTTTGCTGACTCTTCCGTGTGTGCGTTTGTCGTCTGTTCTCTGTCGCTTGGCAAGACAACAAGTCTCAAAGACTCCCGTATCTTATCTGTTCTTGTTGTTCCCCTTCGTAGCTCTGCAGGGGAGATTCGAAGTGTCTAGACTGCAGCCAAGATGGCTTTTCGCGCGGTTCAGAAACTGGATCTACAGGATTGCCTTCTCTCGACACACACCAACTAAGGTGACTGTCCTGCAATTGCGTATATACCCACTTACAAGCTTGAAAAGCGGACGTAGCCAAATAGCCACTGTACTCTACACTGCACTATAACGTGCGCTACAAAGCGCCTATAATGTAGGTGATGATTATGCCTGCTGGACCCAATTTGCTTTCTTTTTACCACGTCACTCTTGATCTATCTGTGGGTAGGTGTTAGTGTACATGCAATAAGGCTCAAGACAAGACAGTCTAGTGGATTCACACGTGCATCAATAGGTGCATAACGAATCCCAGGACAGCACGAAATAGGACCAGTGGGACTCGGAACCAAAACACACGAGTGTTCGCATGCTATGAGCTACCAGGGTGGCTCAGCAGCAGGGTGCATGGAGAATTTTGGCCACAATAATTATTAGAGTTTGAGAATTTTGCCCCACCTACATGTTTCCCATCCCTTGATTAGGTCCACGCCAGGTGGCCTCATTTTGAAGCTGGTCTTGTGCCATTCAGGGAGTAATGTCACTCTCCTTAGAGACACTTTCCAGGCCTGCCAACTTCAACCAGGTAACTACCCATTCCCTCTCTCTCTCTCTCTTT